ATAGCTGATGAAAGAAATGTGTGAGCAGGAGGCCGAGCAGCCTCATGTCTGTTAGAGGTGAACAGGGAACTCTGGACAAAACTTATGAGCAGAAAAATGGAGGTTATTGGATTTTGTTTTTCTTTTTAACAGGATTTTTTTTTTTAGATTTGAGATTTACCAACTATCAATGTGGCTGATTGATCTAATATTTAACATTTTTCTGATCGTCACTTCATTTTTTTTGTTCTTTTTTAGATTCACGCTAAAATCAAAACATTTAAAAATGCACGACTTTCTATTTATCTGTGATCATTATGAGTAAAAACATCTCCACACGTTTTTTTTAAAATTAATTGAACTTGTAGAAAACATAATCAGAGAAATGTTTTTAAAGTGTTGTGTTTAGGTTAGTGGTATTCAAAACTTTGACACCAAAAACATTCATTTTTCCTGCTTCTACTGCTTCATTCACACAAAAACACCAGCATGAAAAAAACAATAATCCTGCTGCTGGTTGAACTATTTCACATCCAAACTCTCACCAGCTGGGTCCTGAAGTTTTAAATTAGTTTTACTGTCATTAATAAAACAAAGTCATGTTGGTGTCGTTTTAACTCAACAACGGTTATCTGAGCCGACTGTCATCATTCTGCTGAGTCGTTTTTTATCAATCTGTATAAAAATAAGTTGTTTCCATGATTCCTTTTTTTACAGAAGAGCATTGCATCCACTGGGTAAAAAAAACATTAGACACCCTATCTCATAATTACAAGATAGGATGCAATGTGCTTCCCCACCTTTTTACTTACATGTGCAGAGAAAACATAGAAGATCCACCTGCAGCGCCTCAGACCTGCTTCCTCTTGGAGGCTGTTATCGCCCCCTGCTGGTCACAGGTTGTACATGTATCTATAACATATGGTACACATGTTAAAGTACAGCAGTATCAGTTATTGAAAGAATTTATGATGTGTACAAGAGAAATATTTCCACCACATATATATATATACATCATCACATTTGTAGAACAATTTCCATTCAATCGATCTCAATTTTCCTGATTTTTTATAGCATGAAATATGAATATTTATAAAAAAATATTTGTTAAATTTTAGCTTGATATATGACAGTCCTATAAATTGTCACTGCTCTTTCTCAACTTGTCATTGATTCAGAATCTGCAAAATTAAACATCCAATATTCTGATGATGGGTGAGTTGAAATGTGATTTGTTTTAAACAAGTGTAGCATCACAAAGAGTCTTTGAGCACAAATTAACAAAATAACTCAGAAGTCAACCAGTGATATTTTCTGAATCATAAACAAAACATATTTCTCTTGAAGGAGCCATTTTCCCAGAATAAATAAAAAAGATTCCTGCAGGAATTTACAGGTCTGTGTTCATATTTACCAAATTTCTAGAAACTAAAAAAGCTTTAAAACACTACCAATTTAAAATAAAAAAATGTCTTTGGCAAGTAGCACATTTATCAGGTGACCTGCATCTGAATAAAATGAAGTTAAATTTTAAAAAGTAATTTGCAAGTGAACACGTGCACAGATCTCATTCTGCAGGAATGCATACTTACATTTTTTATTTTTTAATTCAGCAACTTATCTTATTTGTCTGACATTTAAATCTCTGGGAATAATTTGCAAGAGAAATTAATATAATTATAATCTATGAATATAAGAGAAACATTTGGAGACATTTACAGGGTTCAAGTTTAAGAGTTTCATATAATAAAGAGAAAATATTAGTGAAATTATAATAACTTTGCACATTGATTTTAAGCCTTTATGTCTTTTTTTTTTTGCAGTTACATGTTAACATTACTTTATGATAAACAGCTGAGTTCATGTTCTGTTTTTATTATTTTACTGTATTTCAAAAATACTGAAAATCTGTGAAATAAACAGGAGGAATTCTGTAAAATAAAATTAAAAGGGCATTGAGGTAATTAAGTCTAATCTGACAGTTTCAATAAAAACAATATTTCAGGGTGTTTTTGATGGACTGTGTCACATTATTAGTTGTTTTTTTGTTTCTGTTCATCTTTATGGTTCATTAAAGTTTTCTTCAGTGAGTCCAGACTGAGACTAACGAAGCTCATTTACAAAACAGCACAATCTAAACACTGGATAAAAGAAATGGAGCTGAATAATATATGTAAGCACAGGCAGAGGCCAGATATAAAGAAATATGACAGATTCTTAGTGCTAAGAAGACTTTGATGGCTTTAATGACAGCCTTCTCCCAGCGTCTGGCTTTAACTGAATTAACGTGCAGCTGAGAAACCTGCAGAGTTTCTCACACAGATTCTGCACAGATGAAGTTTCCTCACTTCCTCCCATCAAACAGCTGCAGGTCATCAACAAAACATCAAGTGAAATGGTCGACATGCAGCTTAAACATCAGCACAGTGAAACAATCATTTGAATAATTTTATGAGCAGGTGCAAACGTCTGTAGAAACAGGAATTAAACTTCGCCATAAACCATGTGAGCCACGTTACTTTATAAAACAAAGAAGTCACTCTTATTCGCTTATTTTTGCTGTGCACAGCTGGATTTTTCAATATTAATGAATAAAATACCAGAAAACTGAAGAAAACCTTAAAACACGATGATTCTTAGGGGAGTTCTGACATGACCAGAAGCGTCTTTTTTTCCTCTCCGGGTTTTGAGGCTGTTTATTTCCGAAGATGCTGGTATATTCAGTAACTATCAGTTAAATTGACTGTAAAAATATTTGCATAGCGTCTCTGAGTTCAAGTTTGACTAATTTTCAACACAAATTGAGACATTTTGCGGGTTTGAACGCAGTTTACCTGAACTTCCTCCATTAGCTCCTGCACAAACCAAACCCTTCTTAACTTTGCTGCACGCAGAGGCAGAGGTGTGGGTTTCTTCTTTTTCTTCAGCTCTGGGGCTTTTTTTTAAAAATGAAAATAAATATAAAATTTGAGCTCCAACAACAACGAAAAACATATTTACACCCATATAAGTTCCATTCTATTCTAAATTTCGTCATTCTTTTACATACATTAAGTAATTTCTACTGTAAACTGAAGCAGAAAAGGTCAAACTGTGCACCTGTCGCTCACCTGCACCGCCCCCCAGTGGCTGCATCAGGTACTGCATGTGTCTTTATCACAGGACACTTAATGTTTTATTCTTTATCAGTCGAAAAATCTTATTATTCTTGCGCCTATCTGATGTGATATCATTTAAATCATCGCTGCAGATGCTGTTTAGAAAGTTTGTTTCAGTGGTGCAAACAGTCTTTTCCCCCTAAAACAATTCTTTTGATGTTGGACTGTGGATGTATCTGTGTGAAGTATTCCGCTCGAGTCTATTCATCTTTTCATGGCTGTCTAAATACGATAAAAGACAAAACCGCTGCACACTGGTGTTTCACATTATGTCCCTACGGGGGAGCAACAATAAATACATCACATTTGTGACACGAGTGTAAAAGCCATTTACCTTCCCTCTGCTCTGCAGCTGAACACATGCTGATAGAATTCCATCCCCGTGTCCACTGAGGACAGCAAGTCAGGAAAAAAAACATCTGAGGGAGAAAAGAGCATTTTGTTTAAAGACACGGACGTGATTGGATATGAAACACTAGACGTAGTTTTGAATGTTCACTTTGAAATTGTTGTAGATTTAAAACTAAAGTTACGTTAATTAATAAACTTCTGTGTTGTCCCTGGATGCAGGAATTGATTTTAAAAAAAAAATCTAAACCACAGAAAGATGATCCACTTTCATGCATTTCCTCCTGCTTTATCCTGAAATCACTGCTACAGACCAGATCTTTCATGTTCCAAGAAGCTAAACTGAGCGACTTTAACCTAAAATCAGCTTTTGTACATTTCAATGATTCAGTTTGGTAAACGCCTGTCATCCTAGGCTGCCTCTCATAGCAGAGTTAAGCCCTTTTGTTATTACTTTATAGAGAGAAATCAACAGTGAAGAGAATAAAAATCCCTTTTAAGAGAAATAAACCTCCGTCAGAACGTCTGCGATTTGACCTCCATCAAAGCGCCGTGTGCCAGAAACCAAGACGGATGAAGGCATGAAGCCACCTGCTGAAGAAACAACATTAGTCATGAAACTGCACCAGACAGTCCAAACGAGGCCAGAAGCTCACTGGACGGGGTCGGCCTGGACGCTGGAGGCCTGGCTAAGCTTTACAGACGTCCTTTTACTGGAGGGAGGAAACTTAAAAAGTAGGTTTTTTTGTCACATTTTGACATCACAATATATAAAAATGTGTTTTCTTTATAAGGTTACAAAGGTTTTTACTGCTAATATGAGACTAATCAGGAGGTTTATCCACTGGTTGGTACGAAAACAGCCGTCTGATTCCCATTTTCTTCAGTTAAACTTACTTCTTGTGCACAAATTGTACTGATATTCAAGACATACATTTATTTTTAAAAGACAATCGATTGTTCTTAAAGCGATGGTCGGACCAGGGTTTATTCTGCAGCTTCAGCCATCCATCATCTATACACCGCCTAATCCTCATTAGGGTTGCGGGGGGGCTGGAGTCTATCCCAGCCGACTCAGGGTGAAGGCAGGAGACACCCTGGACAGGTCACCAGTCTATCACAGGGCTACACTTAGAGACAGACAACCAAGCACACTCACATTCACACCTACGGACAATTTAGAATCACCAATTAACCTCAACATGTTTTTGGACTGTGTGGGAGGAAGCCGGAGAACCCGGAGAGAACCCACGCTGCACGGGGAGAACATGCAAACTCCACGCAGAAAAAGATCCCGGTGCCCCCACCAGGACACGAACCGGCAACCTTCTTGCTGCGAGGCAACAGTGCTAACCACTGCGCCACCTTGCAGCCCCTCTGCAGCTCCACTCCATTAAAATTCAGCATTTGAAGGCTGCAAAAGTTCTGCTGCTCAGACGTCACCGTCATGTTCGTCTCCAGACCTCAGCAGAGAAAAAAGGTGAAGCCACAAAAATGAAACGAGACAGGGAAGGATGCATGTTAAACTAAAAGTTTTATTTCATCAAACGATCACAGGTTCAAAGAAAACGACAAAGCTTTACATGTGCAATTCTTTTCCATTTCAATAATTTAACTAATGACATTAGTGAGTGAGAAAAGACAGTTAAATCTCTTGTGTGATCACCTTTTTTGTGACAATTTTTGAATTTGAGATTAAGATTCTGCCTCATTAAACACATTTGGTTAAAGAGAGCTGATCTAAGGCCTCGGTGTTAGATGCTAGAAATGAGCTGTGATCTTTAGTTAGTCGCCACAACATTTGATAATAAATTCAAAAATCTGCAAATGACAGAAGTTAGTAAAACATCTGCTAACCAGCTGAATGTAAACATCCAGACAGGCTCTTTAATCTGAGCATCTTAACGTACGTAATCCTTTCTTAATTATCTGCTCACAAACATTCATTCAGGCTAAATCCTCCAGTTTAAGCTCAGAAAACTGCGACGGTGTGTAACCTGGGTCTGATCAACACGAGCTGCAAACTGAGGCTGCTGTTACTTCACATAACAATCTGATCTCAACAACAGCTTCATCTATCTCAGATTTAGAAAACGTCAACTGCAAATGGTTAAGGATCAATACGGTGACCTCTCAGGGTCGACTGTTCCTGCTGTCCAGGCTGAAGAACAACCTCCTCCCTCCTTCTCGGCGCTACTCGTTAACACTGTGCGAACTTCACGTCGTCGCCGCTGCGTGTTTCTCGCTACAGTTTGCTGCTGAGCTGAGGGTGTGAACGTGAGCTGCTCGTCCCTGGAAACCCTCCGTCGAAGGAGGCGTTCAGCACCTCGTCCAGGTTCGAGGCCGTGACGAAGTCCAGGTCGGCCAGGACGTTGGCAGGAAGCTCCTCCAGGTCCTTCTCGTTGCGTTTCGGCAGGATGACTCTCTTCACTCCGGCCCTGTGCGCCGCCAGAACCTTGTCCTTGATCCCTCCGACCTGCGGAGGACGAACAGATCCAATAAAACAGAACAAACAGCTCTGTGAAATAATGTGCAAGAATCATCGATGTGCAATAACTTCTGTATTCACTGCACTCTGCACTTACA